CGGAGGTCCGGGCGGGTCGCTGGAAGATTGTTTCATGGTAAATGCTAAGTGTATTATAAAAGTTGTACTATTCTTGTACTATTAGATATGTTTTGCAATTTATAAAAAAATATCTCGTTTTGTGTGTAGTTGTACGAGTATAGCATAAACTCTTTTGTGTAATTTATCCCTACTCTTGTTTCAAAGGTGTTTAACGTGCACTATGTGTAGTATGATCACTGAGTAGAGAGAACCATACGTATGTATATTTAAGTGATAACAAAAAGTTTTTGGAAGTAACAAGCGACTCACTTTCTACAATGTAATAATAATGATGCATCCGAAATTTAAGTCTTAAAAAAACGACAGGCTGTCGTCTTCCAATCGCCAAAGAGGTGAACTTATGATTAGCTAGATACACGGTAACACGAACTATGATGGTGCCTCTTGAATGGTGTACGTGTCACGAATTGCTCCATTTTGGCTTAATTGGGTGTATTTGGACTTACTTATTCATGGTTGGGTCCATAAAGATCCTAGGGTTTTCTAGAGTTTTCTCGCATAATAAAGGTATGATAAATATCTTGTATCTAAAAGTTTCTAGGAAAGTCCCATATAAATATCTAGGGAGATATTTTAGGAGAAGTGTCTAGAGACTCAATCCTAACCATTGGTTGTAAGAACAATCTAGAAGGCTAATCATAGTCATTCATTGTAAGCTAGTCTTGCCTATAAATAGGGGGCTAAGGCATTCCATTTGTATCAAGCAAGAGTTGTTAAGTAATAAAGCAATAAGAGCTTTCACTTCTACTCTTGAGTGCTCTCTTCCCTTCTCTTGAGTGAGTGTTTGAGGGATTAGGCTGACTTAGTCATTCTAGTGAGGGAATGACTAAGTGTCGCACGGGTTCGAGTGAGGTTTGTGGTGAAAGAATCAGCCCGTGACATTTGGTATCAGACCAAGGTTCGGAAGTGATAATGTCGAGCTCCGACCTTCGTTCCAAAGTACTTGGTGCGGTGGATCCTAAGGATGCTCCAAGGCAACGTAGGGAGAAATCTCGTGACATCATGACGACGTTGGAAGCATGGTTGGCTAAGGTAGAGCTTATCGTAGCGGATAAGATAGAGGCTTTCGACGAGCGCATCGAGAAGTTAGAGTCTGTGGGAGACGAACTTCAGGAGGAGATGCAGTCGGCCTTGAATTCCGACATCAACATACTCTAACAAGGGATCATATACGTACGTGAGGAGTGTGCATTCTTATGGAGCCAAGTAGAAATGTTCCTGAAGGAGATGACTGAATTTAGAGAAAAGTTCAGCCAATATGACGTTATTTTGGTAACTCGAGGTATGATTTCACAACCTTTCATGGCTAAAGATACTCCTAAACCAAAGCCATATAAAGGAGCTAGGGGTGCCCGGGAGATTGATAACTTCCTATGGAACATGGAAGTATACTTCAATACTGTCGAATATAGGGATGATGCAACCAAGCTCCAAGTCATACCTCTCTATCTCGAAGACTTCGCTACATTGTGGTGGCGTAGACGATGCAAGGATATGAAAAAGGGTACGTGCTCCATTACTACTTGGGAAGAATTCAAGGCATATCTGAAGCGGCAATTATACCCGGAGAATGCTGAGGACGAGGCCCGAGGTAAACTCCGTCGCCTTACTCAAAAAGGTTCAATTCGTGATTACGTGAAAGAATTTTCAGAGTTGCTGCTGGAGATCCCGGACATGGGCGAGAAGGACTCTCTATTCTCATTCATGGATGACCTCGCATGATGGGCCAAGATGGAGTTACAAAGACGTGGCGTCCAGACTCTTGCCCAAGCAATGCAAGTAGCTGAGTCGCTGATCGAGTTCAAGAAGGTAAACAACTTGTCCAAGCCAAAGGATAAAAAGGGTAAGCCTACTAAAGGCGGGGGAGAGAAGGATAAGTCATCCAAAGAGTTCTCACCTAAGTCAACGTCCGAGAATGGTAAGTCCTATGACAACTCTAAAGGAGGTGACCGTTTAAAGAAGTTGGCATGCTACTTCTGCAGCGGTCCACATAAGGTTATGGACTGTCCCAAGAGGGCCAATCTTGTGGCCCTAGTTCAGAGGGAAGAGGAGAAACAAAATGAGGAGACCCGAATCAACTCACTTCATCTCCTCAATGCAATCAAGGCAAAAGTGGATGCAAGACCTTGGGGGGCAATGTTCATCAAGACAACCATTTCCGGTAAAACCTTTAAGGCCCTTTTAGATACCGGTGCTTCTCATCTCTTGGTTTCTCACGATGTGCTAGTAGGTTGAATCTTAAGATCACCAAGGGAGGGGGTGTCATCAAAGCTGTCAATTCAAGTCCCACTCTCATCGCTAGCATGGCTCAGAAGGTAGATGTAAGCATCGGAGAATGGTGCGGCCAAGAAGACTTGACGGTCGTGACCATGGACGACTTTGACGTAGTACTTGGCTTGGAATTTTTGGACAATGTGAAGGTCGTGTTGGTTCCATACACCAACACAATGTGCATCCTAGAGGGCAAGGCATGCACAGTTCCGATCAAGCGTGAGAGTGTGACTTTTAAAATGCTCTCGGACTTACAAGTGTCCAAGGGCATCCGTCGACATGAGCCAACTTTTATTACTATAGCTAAGGTGGAGGAAAACTCACACCAGGGAGAAGACGTGCCCGAGAAAATCCAAAGTGTCTTGGAGGAGTACCACGACATCATGCCCGCAAAGCTACCAAGTAAGCTCCCACCTAGGAGAGAAGTGGATCACAAGATCGAGCTCGAGTCAAGAGCTTGTCCCCCAGCCATGGGTCCTTATCGCATTGCACCACCGGAGTTAGAGGAACTTCGAAAACAATTGAATGACTTGCTGGATGTCGGATACATTCATCCGTCTATGGCTCCATATGGTGCCCCAATATTGTTCCCAGAAGAAGCACGATGGGTCATTGCGGCTATGCATCGACTATCGGGCTTTAAACAAGATCACGATTAAGAACAAGTATCCCATTCCTCTAATTGTGGACTTATTCGACAGATTGGGGCAGGTAAGGTACTTCACTAAGCTTGACTTGCGCTCGGGATACTATCAAGTGTGGATTGTTGAAGGACATGAACCAAAGACGACATGCGTGACCAGGTATGGCTCTTATGAATTCCTAGTTATGTCGTTCGGTCTCACCAATGCCCCAGCTACATTCTGCATCATGATGAACAAAGTATTGGAGTGTTTCCTAAACCATTTCGTGGTGGTCTACTTGGACGACATTATGATTTATAGCCAAACCATGGACGAGCATGTGGAACACTTGAGGCAGGTATTCCAGGCGCTTAGAAGTAATGAGTTCTATGTGAAGAGAGAAAAGTGCTCGTTAGCACATAAGGAGGTGGTGGTCTTAGGCCACATCATTGGAGGAGGCAAAATTCGCATGGATCAAGCTAAGGTGCGAGTCATACTAGAGTGGGAGCCTCCTACCAAGGTGACAAAGCTGCGATCATTTCTGGGCTTGGTGAACTGCTACTGAAGATTCATAAAGAGCTACTCAGCATTAGCGGCTCCACTGACAGACTTGCTGAAGAAAAATCAGGCGTGGGATTAGAGTTCAAAATGCTAGAGGGCATTCGAAGCTTTGAAGAGAGCTGTGATGGAGGAACCAGTTCTCGCTCTTCCCAACTTCAGCAAGCCCTATGAAGTGCACACTGATGCGAGTGACTTTGCAATTTGGAGGGGTGTTGATGCAAGAAGGACACCCCGTGGCTTACGAGAGTCAAAATTTAAACGACACCGAGAGGCGGTACACTGTTCAAGAGAAGGAGATGACGGCCATGGTCCACTGTCTCAGATTTTGGAGGCATTACCTACTTGGGTTCAAATTTGTAGTGAAGACAGACAATGTGGCCACCAACTATTTCCAGACTCAAAAGAAGTTATCTCCTAAGCAGGCACGATGGCAGGATTTCTTGGCAGAGTTTGACTATGTGCTCGAGTACAAACCGGGAAAATTCAACTTAGTGGCAGATGCGTTAAGCCGGAAGACGAAATTTGCTGCTATGATAGGTCATCCTCGGAGCACCTTACTTGATCGTATTAAGGAAGGTTTGTCTCATGATCCTACAGCCAAGAACACGGTGGACTACGCAAAAGAAGGCAATACTCGAAGGTTCTGGCTAGAAGGAGACCTGCTTTATACCAAAGGGAGACGGGTGTTGTATGCAATAAAAATTATATTTAATCCTTATCAGAGAAGTTCAGAACAAAACTGCTAAAACCTCACCCGAAATAGCAAAAAGGGGGGAAACATAGATATCTCCCAAACCGTAAGGAATTTGGCAAAACGGAGGAAGCGAACCGAAGCCTTCGGCTGGGTTCGGATGGCTCCGTCTCGTCGAGATAGGCGATTTTCATATATAACTCGTCCAATTCCGACTTACGGTTTGAAAGTTACGGCCTATTCTTCGATCCATGCTCAGGAGCTCGCCTGCAGCTCGAATTTCGCCTGTACGATTAAGCTCGCCTACAGACCCAAGTCTGCCTGCACACCCGAGCTCGCCTGCAGACCCAGCTCGCCTGTAAGCTCACCTGCAGACCCAAGTTTGCCTACAGTCACAAGCTCGCCTGCAAACCCAGCTCGCCTACAAGCTCGCCTGCGAGCTCGCCTGCAGACCCAAGTCTACCTGCAGTCCCAAGCTCGCCTGCAGACTCAGCTCGTCTGCAAGCTCGCCTGCAGACCCAAGTCTTCCTGCAGTCCCAAGCTCGCCTGCAGACCCAAGCTGCAGACTCGCCAGCTCACTGTCAACTGCCCACTTGGAGTATGAGAACAGTTACATCAGTGGACAAATCCCACAAATCAAGGGAGAAAGCATGGCGCTCACCTAGCAAGAATAGGGCGGCTGACAAGACCCCCTAAGTGGTCATATCCCACAGCTAGGACGGCTGGCTCCCTCACCTCTATTAGTGGTCAAATCCCACGAATCAAGGGATG